GTTAAGGCTGAAGCTGGAGCTGGAGCTGAAGAATAGAAGAGGAACAGAGCCAACGAAACCAAACGAAACCAAAAACTGTTGCAAAAACATGTCACATTAAGTGCACAGACAGCAGCAGGAAGTCTATGGGAGCTGAGTGCTTTTATTGCTGCCGGAATTCTGAGGACATTTCGCTTTGAAGTTGAATCCTTGCATTTGGCTTCCTCTTGTGTTTTTCCTTCTCCATTTTTTTTTTGTTTTTTGTATTTTTTTTCTTGCTTCTTCCGCATGCGGGTGGGCGCTGCACTTGTTTATGTTTATGCATTTTGCACTTAAATGTAATGATAATGTCTCAGTTGATTTTGCATTTGCTGCGAATTCAAATCAGCGAATTGCACTGATTGTGTCTGCAAATTTTTGGCTATTTTCCATTTTTTTAGAATTTTGTGGAAAATTTTTTAATATATTTTATTGTGATCTGAGTAAGTTAGGGGAAAATTTACTTAAAGAGAGGAAAGGAGAAAGAGTGATGGTTGATTCTTAGGTGAGTATTGCATACATATCGTATATAATGAGATCGTGCCAATTAATTACGTACTGCAACGAGATTTGGTGTGATGCTCATTAAACTCTTTGTATGGAGAAGCGAGAAATTAATGCTAAAATAATTAATATGAATATATTTTATTTCTATCTATCTAAAATAATTAATAAAAAATATATTTGATTTGATTTAAATCGTAAAGCAATTGAAATTCATGTCAGCGCACAAAAGCTCTCGTGAATGCAGTTATCGCTGAGTTTCGCAGCTTTTGTCAGTTGAGCGGCTAAAGCGAGCTAGAGAAGCTTTCGAAACGGTGGCCAGACAGTGGTGACCAAAATAAATGGCACACTCTCAATACGCTCAATGCTTTAACAGAAGTGTGTACAAATATTGATAGTTGCATTTATAAATTGATGACAAATATATATTTTAATGTGACTTACATTAATTTAATATAGCAAATAAATTTACAAAAAATTTATAAAATATAAATAAAATACCACATTTTTTAAGAATATAGCTAAAATAATAAATTAAATAATCTACAACGTATTACATTTGAATTTCTTTTTATTGAAATAATTCAAAATAAATGATGATCATCAATCATAGTTGACTTATGTGGGCTCGAACTGTGGGTCGAATGTGAATGCATGAATAACACTCCACTCAACGAGAATAGCATATATCAGATAGACTATATACATGATCAGATCGAAGATGGCAACTGAACGGCGAGCTAGGAAATTGAAAGTGAGGATCCACAGCAGAGTTGTGAAGGCAATGAGCATGAAGAAAAAGTACGAATTATCGCCTTGTTCGCCTAGTAGCCAGCGCCTGGAGTAGAGCTGGCCCACATTTGGATTGGTTAAGAAGTACAGACCCAAGCAGATCGTAAAACCTTTAAAAAAGTACGAAAACGAATGATTCAACAATTTCTATTAAGTCGAATAATGCAAACGTACTGAAAAATGGCCCAGCCAAGCCGGCAGCGAATGCCATTCCGCCGTAGCCCTTGATTGCCAAACTGATATTGAATACACTATCGCTAAGGGCAGCGCAAAATGCTCGAATACTGCTGGATGCGAAATCCTCGCTCATGTGCGAAACCAAGCCAATCACACAGCTGAGCACCTCGATCTCAGTGGCTAAGATTTTCAGTAGAACCAGGGTGATGCTGAACGTGAGTATCATGAAGAGCTGTGAATAAAAATATACCAATCAATTTCATCTGTCTTTCTCAGCCTCTCTCTCTCTCTCTCTCTCTCTTTCTTTCTTTCTTTTTGGATACCTTGTGAAAACGCGGTGGTTTATCGGTGCGTGTCTTCCAGAAGACAAATATGGCTAGCGGCACGCTGACGCAGAAGCTCCAAACGGAAATGTTAAAGTACAAAACTATGAACGAACTTTGATACTCTAAGCAGGCCAATGCTGCAATGAAAATGATATATCATATGATATATACATATAGAAAACTTAAGCACAAACCATGCCAGAGAGTTATGACTATGAAGGGCGTCGTCACGATCTGTATGCAATTGAGCAGCTTGCTCCAGCCGTGCTTGGTCACGGAGGTGTCGACGACAGGTACGAATAGACTGCAGATGATTGAAACGGGCATGATCAGTACTATGTAGATTCGTTCAATGTACGAGCTCCGCTTGAATTCGCTCAAACTGATCGGATTTATCGAGTCCCATAGGTCGTTTAATAAAAACATATTACGGGGATTCTCTGGATTGTAGAAGATGTTGCGCAAATATTTCTCATTATCCCTCTCGATTACACTAGGCCGAGTCTGGCCATATTTCTCGAGGGCGCGCAGCTCCACATCATCAAGCTCATCATCGTTGAGCGAAGTCTTTTTGCCATAATATGTCTTCAGCTTGGCCGAGATGAAGATTTCCGAGTGATTGTACTTGTCCACATTCTTACTATCCAGCTCCATGTGAGCCAGCTTGTTCTGCATGTGCCGCAGTTTGCTCTTCGTCTTGAGTGTGGGCTGAGTCTTTCGGCTCAAAGCGTCGACCTTTTGGCGAAGGTCTGGTAAAGGCATTTTATTATAGATATACTCGAATTTGTGGGGTTTATGATTTGGAGCGCTTCTTACCGTCAAGAGTGTTTCGCATCAACTTCAGATCGACAATATTGATAATCAAGTAAATGAAATACAAACAGATAAGGGCTGTAAATAAATTGAATTGATTAGATTAAATCAACTAAACAAAATATGAAAAGATAACAGAAAAAAAATAAATAAATAAAAAATAAATAAACAAAAGAAAACAAAACAAAGAAATATAACATACAATAAATTAAACTAATAAAATATTAAAAATAAAATTTTTTTAAATTTAGTAAAGAAATATTAATATAAAATAATATAGTATTAAATATTATCATTAAAGAATTAAATTAAATTAATTTTATATACAATATCATCATTTAAATTAATATTAATTTAATTTAATTTTGAATAATAATAATAATTATTATTATAATATAATATTTAAATATCTGTTAAATTAAATTGATATATTATATTAATTTTATTAAGTTGATAGTTGAGTGAAAGGGAGAGAGGCAGATCAACAAAGGTTTATAATAACAGATCAGTCACACAGACTGTCAGATACTTGATCCTATAATATATCAATCAATGATCAATAAATAGACTTATGGTAATCGAAGCTAATGGCCTAAACAGTAGACCAAAAGCAAGAAACAAATCAGACAGAGAGACTGAACTTCTCATAAAGATCAATGCTTTATATACGGTTGCCAATCGATTCCCTATAAATTGTAGCACACACTCTGTAACACTTACATAGTCCTTCAATTCGCGTTATTTTGTTATCAGTCTCCATCTCGTAGAGGACCAGCTCGCAGGCGAACATCATGAAGAGGAGATCGCGCACAGCGCCGTGGCCATTGATCTTGAAGGGTCTCAGGTAGCAGATGAGGCCACCATTAATTAGGACCCCGGCAATCGCATTGGATAGGGTAATGTTGAACAGCGGCGACTCCTCCATGACGGGCGTCACGTTGATGAACAGGTCCGGCAGGTGATTGCCGAAGCAGAGTAGAGTAATGCCAGCCAGATATTGGTTCATGTGCATCACGATCGAGACGATCTTCAGCAAAGGCGCAATGCTAAGGGGGGGAGGGGATGGGTTGGAGTGAATCTTACTACAAAGTACTGACTTACTATTTGTCCACCATGTGGGCCACCGCCAGCATCAGCAGGCCCATTATGACGATGGAGGCGCACATTACAGCAACCTCAGTGCTTCGCGTCTTGATGTTCATTTGGCAGTACATAATCCTGAAGTAGTCGATGCACTGCATCACCTGGATGCAATGCTTTATGGCCTTGGACAGGAAGCAGCGATGCGAGAAGTCCACGTACATCAGACTATTACAGCGCATCTTGAAGGATTGAGCTCAGTTTCAGTACAGATTCGATTGCAAGCAAATTTCATACAGTCTCACTCTTACGCTTTCCCTCTCTTTCTCTCTACTCACCGAATTGTAGACATCATCGATTGAGAAAGTCACATTCATGTTGATTGTGTTTTTGTCTTTATATGTTTCTTGTATATGTTATATATTAAATTGACATATATGTATGTATGTATGTATGTATATTATAAATTATTGTCTCGAAGGTAACTAGATATATATGTATTGTATATAGATATACATATGTATAAAAGTGGGAAAGTGGGAAAGTGGGATGATATAAAAATATATGAATACAAACTTTTAAATAAATTATATATTTATATATAAAATTATAGTTTATATATACATATATAATACATTAAATATGTTTACAGATATGTATAAAATTATAATTTATGTAAGTTTGTTATAGATAGACTTAGAATATTTCTATAGGATATATATTTGTATATCTAAGGAATTAACAATGTAAAATGAGTCCAGAATTATCTAGATTTAGCTAAGCGAGATAAAGTATATGAGTGAGCTGGATAATTATAGTCATCTAATACATATTTAAAGCTGGATTATTGAGGTCATCTTAAAGAATGGATATGCAATCTTTCAGTTAATATTATCATAGAATTTTCACAAGCTTTCTTCAACTCCTATGTTCGAGCTGGGATAGCAAAAGGAATCTGAGATCATTTGATGGGAAGACATTAGCAGCTAGTGTGATAAGGCTTTCATGCTTATCAATCGAATATATGTGAGCCGATAGTAGCGAGACATAGTGTAGCCACGCTTTATATATATAAAACATATAATATATGCACATTTGCCGATAAGGAAACATTCGGCCAGTCGGGAACGTAAATCATTGGAGTATTTAGGTTTGGTCTACTATTTGTACTTCCCACGGGAGAATCATTACCATAAATTAAAATCTCAATATAAATTATGAAGACTTAATCTTATTAAGAGCTCGATAAGCCAAACTTGAGAGCCAAGAAATTGCATTTATAAATGCCCCACATCGATGGAGCTAAACACAATCAGCAAAGTTTAACCATGGTGTCTAAGGCAGGGTTTGCTCTAGTTCTCGCTGTGCTGGTCTGCGGCCAGTACGCCGTCCAGGGAGTCTACATCGTCTCCAAGGCCGAGTGGGGTGGCCGTGCACCCAACTATCGCGTTGCCCTGGACAACTACCTGAACTACGCCATCATCCATCACACTGCGGGCAACTACTGCGAGACTCGCGCTGCCTGCGCACAGCAGCTGCGCAACGTCCAGAGCTACCACATGGACGAACTGGGCTGGCCCGATATCGGCTACAACTTCCTGATCGGCGGCGATGGCGCTGTCTATGAGGGTCGCGGCTGGAACTCGCTGGGCGCCCATGCCGCCGAATGGAATCCCTACAGCATTGGCATCTCCTTCCTGGGCAACTTCAACTGGGACACGCTGGAGCCGAACATGATCGCAGCCGCTCAGGGTCTGCTGAACGATGCCGTCAGCCGTGGCCAGCTCGCCTCCGGCTACATCCTCTATGGCCATCGTCAGGTGAGCGCCACCGAATGCCCCGGCACCCACATCTGGAACGAGATTCGCAGCTGGTCCCACTGGAGGGCTTAGAGCACACTGACTGTCTTCACTAATCAATAAATGAATGATTCAATTAAAATGATTAGCATCTCTTTTTATTATAATATTGAAGAGAAGGGGATACCTAGAACCATATAGAAGAGACAGATAGACAATAGGTAGAAACCATTTTAAATATTTGTAGAGTATTTGAAATATAGATTTTATACCTTACTCATTATTCAATTAATGGTAATATTAATATATAAATCCCTAACGGATTTGAATGTGCTAGGATGAGCTGGACCCACTAGACTTAACCAAAACAGAAGTCGCAAAAAAAAGTTTTGATTTGAATGATATAGAAATAAAATGATTCAATTGTTTAACTTATGATATAAAAAAGTATATTTGTACAATTCTATGTATATATATATATATATATATATATATATATATTTAAAAATATTTATAAAGCTGCAAGACTGAAGAGGCTTTCATACAAAGAGATAGATAGACAAGGCTGAGGGCCAAGCAGCTATCAAAAATCTATTAAAGTTTTTCAAGTATCAATGCACATACATACTGACATGCATATACATATACATATATATACATACACACATACATACACCTATATATTCAAAAAGCCAATAAACTCTTGTAGGTCCAACACAGAAAAGTCACATCTCAATCTAATCGAGCTATAAAACAGATAGACGATTTGCTCAAAAAATGACAAGAATAATTTTTTTTTTTAACCTCGACGAGTATATTTTGAACAAATTAATTAAATTGCACTCGGATTGATTAAAAACTCATTCGAGCACAGCTGGGGAGACACACGAGTATCAGAACCTTCCCTAGATTGTCTGCGTATCAGATCAAAAGTCCCCCAACCCTCTTATGAATATACACATATATAAATGTATATATATTGTACATATACCTATATATTGGCGCATCAAGTGTCGTGTGCTGTGCGAATCATTCGGAAGAGATAACACACCTCTCTCTGGGCTCTATAAATGTAGCGCCACATCGATCGGCCTTCACACAAGTCTTAAATCCAATCGAGAATTATGGCAAGCAAAGCTCTCATCGCTCTGGCCGTGCTCCTCTGCGCCAACGCCGTCCTCGGCGTGAATATCATCAGCAAGTCGCAGTGGGGCGGTCGCTCGCCCAATGGCAAATCCACGCTCGCCAACAAGCTGAGCTACGCCGTGATCCACCACACCGCCGGCAACTACTGCAGCACCCGCGCTGCCTGCGAGCAGCAGCTGCGCAACATCCAGGCCTACCACATGGACAGCCTCGGCTGGGCGGACATCGGCTACAACTTCCTGATTGGCGGCGATGGCAACGTGTACGAGGGTCGCGGCTGGAACGTGATGGGCGCCCATGCCACCAGCTGGAACGCCAAGTCCATTGGCATCTCTTTCCTGGGCAACTATAACAACGACAGACTCACCTCGGCCCAGATCTCAGCGGCCAAGAGCCTCCTGGCCGATGCCGTCTCCCGTGGCCAGCTCGTCTCCGGCTACACTTTGTACGGCCATCGCCAGGTCGGCTCCACCGAATGCCCCGGCACCAACATCTGGAACGAGATTCGCACCTGGGCCAACTGGAGGGCTTAAATGGACGCTCGACTACGTAACTCAAGCTGCAAAATAAAAACTTTTAAAATATAATATATTAATGCGTAAGACTGGGCGTATATTTTTCAATGGGGGATTTTCGTGGAGGCCTTCCCCAGTAGCTGGAGATTGTTTACATATGCAAAAAGATCAGTTGGAATATATTTGGACATAAACAAATACTCAGTTAGAATGATTAATCTGATAAAAGAGTAGAACGAATATATAGTGAAAATAATATATATATATATATGTATGTATATACCAACAAAAAGCAGAGCTAGTTTCCATCAGATCAGTGGCTCAGTGGACCTTTAGATCTGTATTTATTAAGACATCCAAAACCCAATCCAAAATAACTGCAAAATTTTTATAGTTAAATATTCTCCTGCTTATCGATTCACACTGTGACCCAGCACTGGAGGACTGAACTTATCAGCCCAGTAAAGCTCAGGCCGTGTTCCCATAGAGCTCACTTCTGAAATCCCCTGCGTTGAGTCATTCGTCGCTTAATCTCGACACATGTAAAGTTTATTGAATTTTCTTATAAGTTTTTATTATGCAGCATTTGGAAAAAAGAAAAGTTTAGAATTTGAGGGAAATCCTTTCGTAGGCTTCTTAAGCCTTCCTAGTTGGCCCAGGTGCGGATCTCGTTCCACAGATTGTTGCCGGGGCACTCGGTGGCGCTGACTTGACGAGGGCCGTACAGAGTGTAGCCGGACTTGATCTGGCCACGGGAGAGTCTGCATTTCAATCGGCTTGGCCTTATTTCTGAATACCCTAGAATCAAAAGTACACGAGATAAGTTGAATTGTGATTGTCTATTATTGATTTGATCCCAGAACGAAATTTTTATAGTAGATTACTCTAACTGTAACTGGATGGAGTGTAGAAAGCAATTGATAATAATAAGAATAATTATAGCAACGTTTTTTTTTTTTTATAGAAAACATTTTTCAACGTATTAAAACTGGTTTTGAAAAATGAATTCATAACTCTGTAAAGATAATTATATTTTTTATAAATTTTTATTATGCAGCATTTAAAAATTGTTTATATTGGAAATTCTTTCGAGAACTTCTTAGGCCTTCCAGTTGGCCCAGGTGCGGATCTCGTTCCACAGGTTGTTGCCGGGGCACTCGGTGGAGCCGACCTGGCGATGGCCGTACAGAGTGTAGCCGGACTTGATCTGGCCACGGGAGACGGCATCGGACAGGAGACCCTTGGCAGCGCTGATCATGGCAGCGGTGGGTTGGTTGTTGTTGAAGTTGCCCATGAAGGAGATGCCAATGGACTTGGAGTTCCAGTTGGTGGCGTGGGCACCCAGAACGTTCCAGCCGCGACCCTCGTAGACAGAACCATCGCCGCCGATCAGGAAGTTGTAGCCGATGTCAGCCCAGCCCAGGCTGTCCATGTGGTAGGCCTGGATGTTGCGCAGCTCCTTGACACAGGCATCGCGGGTGCTGCAGTAGTTGCCGGCGGTGTGGTGGATGACGGCATAGCTGAGCGAGCCGGCCAGAGTGGTCTTGCTCTTGGGATTGCGAGCACCCCAAGCCGACTTGCTGACAACGGCAACGCCGAGGACGGCCTCTGCGCAGAGGAGCACAGCCAGAGCGATGATAACCTTGCTAACCATGGTGAATTGTTGACTACGAGAATTCAACTGATGTCGGCTATAACATCGCCTTTGCTTATATACGCCACAGGAGTTGAAAATGGCGTGAGATTTATCTATTTGTTAAATAATATTTAATCAATCGGATGAGTTTGGCATTTTTTAAATTTAGTGCAAATTTATGAATTGCGAGCAAATCTATCAAATTCAATTAATTTATAATAAAGATACGATTTGATACATTTATGGCACACACATGCCGGTAGTAAAAGGTCAGACAGTCTATTTTTGATTTCTTCATGATACAATCCTTTATCTACAACAACTATTGTAGTAATTTTATACACAGAGATACTTATGCTTGCTTTATTACTTATAAGTATAATAAATCGAATATGCGAAAAGCACTTCGTTAGTCCAAGTCATGCTGTCTAGTCGGACACTCCCCTCTAGAGTGGTTCTACTTGATTACAAACAGATACGTAAGTTGATAATACGTTTATTAGTCAACTTTTTACAACAAATAAATAAGAAGAATACAATAACAACTATAATAATATACAAATTCTATTCCAGTGTTGTTGCGTTTTTCGTGAATACCCTGTACCTATATGAACGAATAATAGAGGGTATACTCATATTTTATAAGTAGGCCTGATTAGCGAAACAGGTCTCAGACTCTTAGTCTCCTCTATCGGAGGGAGATAAACAACGTCCACTTAATCCTTTTTACCGATGAGCCTCTCCATAAATATTTATCCCTTCCAAGTTATTCTATTTTGGGTAGGATGACAGTTGAACAATAAATCAGTCAATTAGTTTAATCGATTATATATTTATTTATAAACAAATTTTATTATTAATCATCATATGAACATATTTAGTTGATTATATACAGGGTACTCCGAGCTGTGTTGAAAATTCGCGTCACACTGACTTAGTCAAAAATCAATCGCTTCTTTATGAAAACACGTGATGATGGATTTAATGTTGACTTGCCGCATGATTTACTATATTCAGCTCTCCGCACCGTAAACACAATGGAAATCTTATCGCTGAATTTGTTCCAATAAATTCCGAATAATTTCATTATTTTGTTTGTGAATGAAATGGTCACCAGAATAAATATAAATCAAAGCCACGCCCACGCCCAGTGGCGTGTGGCCGCCCAAATTCTAGAAGACCGTTCCCAATTAAATAGTTAGTTAATTATTAACTAGTCGATACCCTACATAACGGAAAAACTTCTTAATTCCTTTGACATTTAATGATTAATGATTAGTACAAGTCTGCTACTTATTAAACATAGTTCTTAAATTCCATTAATTATAAGGTGACTTGGGATAATTTCATATTCAATATACGGAACTCTCTTGGTATTTGTATTCACAGTATTTTGATAAAGGCACGAATTGACTTCTAAATAGTTGCTTGAATATTCCAGCTAATGAGTTTAATGAGTATTCAGTGATTGTAATCCTAATTATCATAATCATAATAATTATTATTCTGATGATCATTTAAAAACGATAATTATTACTATGATCTTTCACAAAATAATTTCCCATTTTATAATATTTGATATTTACGATATAAAATAATTATATAATATTGCTATACAAACTTTTATTAAGATATTTACATTTAAATATTTACCATAAGAGAAGAAAGTCCCGCCGCACTGCTCGAGGTCCAGGTCAAGAATGTAACTGGAGAAGCAGAACATACTTGCCTTTATATAGGAAGGCGACTCTTCCGACTCCAACTCAAGGTCGCGCTCAAAATTTGAGCCTTGCTCTGAGATAAGCTGAATGTGAATGTGTGGGTGAGAAAAGCTGAAGGGGAATGCGTGGGTGAGAAATACTTCAGCTGAATGCGTGAGTGAGTATGAGCAGCAGTATATACACATACATACACAGCTGAATTGTTCTCCTTCAGCCTCTCTTGTTCAAAGAGTTGCCTTGATGATACATTTCGACAGAGAAGCATATAGAGTCAGGTAGAAAGCGAGGTAGACAGATAGAGAGAGAGGCAAATAGGCAGTGAAGATAATAGTAAGAGAGGGAGAAAGAGAGAGAGAGAGAGAGAGAGAGAGAGAGAGGGAGAGACAGATAGCTAGAGTTTATATATGTATGTAGATCAGATTTGCTCGTCACTCAGATCAGGAATATGCCACATACTCCCTATAAGGAAGGCTTGCCTGCAACATGCAAAAAAAACACAATAAATAATCCAATTCATATAAATATCATTTTAAACTAATATTTATTCGAATATCTTTGCATATTTAGTATACAGTATACATATAGATGTTGTACATACATAAAATATTGTTATATTTTGTAGTTTTCGTTATTTGTTTTGGATGTCTTTGAAGTGTGGTAATTGAAATAAAAAACAAAAGTTTGACAAAAACCTAAATGGAAATTGACATACTGTGTTTATAATATGCACAAAGTCTTACAGTTAGCTTAGAACATAAAAAGAGTATGCGTTCGCATAGACTTCCCTTTATTAGATTCGTGTAACATCCGATGTGGCTCTCCTTTCTTTTCCTCACTTTCCTTTCCTTTTTGGTAACAACTACTCGCGCTTAACTAGGTAAAATTCGCATGATAATTAAATGAAAACCAGTGCTTTAATATACATATTAATATATGTATATATATATATATCATGGTAACTTGAAGAGCAAAATTCAGAGAATATTTATTCATAGGGATAGGGCTAACGCGTTTTCAAGTTTAACAACAATACGCGACGGCTAGAGGTATACATTATAATGATTTCCTATATTCAAAAACATTTGCCAATAATTTTTTTTGCGCTTTTCTTTCTTTTTTTTGTATACAATATTAATAGACAATTCAGAACAAAGTGTGGCAGAAACTAAACTGTTTGGATTTGTCCCTATGGGAGCGCACAGGGTAGAGTGGGGTACGAGGAATGAATTTCAAACAAAATACAAATGTGCTAATGTTTGGGCAAGATATATATATATATATGGAGAGAGAGAGAGAGAGAGATAGCTAGGGGAGAGACAGGGAAGCGTGTGGGCGAAGGTCTCTGCTCACAACACAATAATCATGTAAACACTTTAAAGAAATCACAACTTAGGCCTGACTCTCGTTGCGTCCAGGCACCTGGCCGGGTATGTTCACCTGGCGGCTGAGCGACGATTGTGATTCCCCCATTTGCGCATGGCTAGCAGCAGCAGTAGCAGCAGCAGCAGCAGCTGCGACATCGTTGTATGGCGGTGGCGGAACTGCACCTTCGATTACATCAATGCCAGCATCAATAACCTCCAGATCCACATCGTCGTCGTTGTTATCATCTGATACGTTGCCGCTGCCATGATTCGCTTGCTCGCTGCGCCGCATTGGTGGCGTGTTGGCATTCACATGAACCGTATTGTTGTTGTTCGGCATGTCGTTGTTGTTGTCCAGGTTGTCATCCATATTGGGTGCAGCATTGCCAGCGCCAGCATTCAGTGCCACAAACAGTGGGGTATTGCCGCCACCGTCTGCCTGAGCCTGCGCCCCGCCAGCCGCAGTCTCGTCCTCATTCTGATAGTTGGACATGGCCACCTGGTAAGACGGCGGTGGTGCCTGCTTCAGATATTGAGCAATTGCCTCATCATAGTTGGGCAGCAGAGTCGAATATGCTCGCTCCTCAGCTCCAAAGCCACCTCCAACAATGCCGCCGCGCACAGCCATCTCGGGCAGGCCGCAGGGCAGCAAGCTGCGCAGATGCTGTTGCCGGAGCGTCAAGTACTTATAGCAGCGCCAGACGATGCCAATGCAGTAGGCCTTAAGGAACACGATGCACACGAATACCACCAGCACAACCACAACGAGCTCCTCTGGGGGCAGCTCCAGCAGCTTCTCGCGCCACGGCAGCCGATGAGACTCGGCGATGAAACGGTGAATGGCCTGCAGATAGCATAGGTAACCAGCAGCAGTCAAACTACAAGTCAAGCGAAAATAATTCATCAAAATATTTGCATATCAAATGGATTTTCGAGTCACTCACGTAGTTATGGCAAAGTCAAACAACTGCAAGCAGAAGAAGGGCAAAAGATGCGACGGCTTGCCCTTGATAGTTCCATAGATCATCATCAGGGTAATGGCTATCATGCAGGTGCACACCAGCCCGCCCATATCAAAGTTCTCTGCAAAGAGAAGATTGCCAATTAAATATTGATTGCCTGGAGTTGAACTAGATCTAGTGCTTACGGTAACGCTTACGATAGTTGAAGGAATGATCACGATAGGCGTACGGTGGATCCACTTTGCTCAACGGTGTGGGCAATGCCGGTGCATTCAGATCGACGGTAAAGTCATGGCTGCCGCTCTCCAATTCATCCATCATTTCCGGATTGCGCCAAATGACAGCCAGCACGCTCAGAGCCAGAATATTTAAGAACTGCGGAAAAGACGGAGAATGCAGGAATATATAACTATGGATAGTAGATAAGTTGAGGAATGAGGGGCGATGGGAGTTCATTGAAGTGAGTTTATCAGAGTGCTTATGTTAAGAATTATGAAAAAAGTGTGTAAGACATTTAGGGACATTATTATTATAAACACTTGTACTTAGTCAATAACTTACAACAGTGATTATCTAACGACCTATAGAACATAAGCACATACTGCCTTGGCTAAGCTTGCCCAGAGAGAATATCATTCCGTTAGGAAGAGATTTCTCATAGTGTAAACATTAGTATGGTCTCTAGACTGCACCTCTTCGGAGATGTTATATGAGGCATAGGCGTTTTTTCACAGAACAAATATCTGTATATATATTTGCAAAGCACGAATCAAAAATAGAATAAGTGAATCTTAACTCTGGATGCTCTTTGTTTGCTCTTTTTGGCAGCTGAGGCACAACTCTGAGGCGTCGACTGGCTCCAGGGTTTGCCAGTAGTTCATATGCTGCGTCTGCAGCCAGTTGAGGTAGTTGAGGAAGGTGTCGTAGGTGAACTCTTCGGCGATGTGACAGTGCAGTCGATGATGATAGCAGCACTGGCCGTCATAGATCCAGCTGCGCTGCTGTGGGGGCTGCATGCCAGTGCGTTCCAGATGCTGCAGAAAGGCATCCCGATCGGCGCCATAGCAGAGCCGGGTCGTTGTATAGCCAATGCCGTCGTGCAGGCGCTGCAGCACTTCCGGCAGCGAGATAATGCGCTTTAGCTCAACGTACTGGCACTGCCGATCGTGCAGGCGGATGAGCAGCCAGGGCGGCACCAGAGCAAAGCGTACGCAGGCAATCAACTGAGTGACATTCAGTCGTCGCTTGGGCCAATCGAAGTTGAGCCAGCGCACGGCGGACATGAAGACCTCCAGCTCGGAGTTGACACAAATGCCGTTCGAGCTTAGGAGTAGCAGAAGGGCGCGCAGGGGCAGCTGCAGGAACTCCTGCGAGGCGACAAGAGTCAGGAAGAAGCGACCCACACGCTGCAGCTGCGAGCGATGGGCACGTTCCATGCGCAAGAGTCGTGCCTCCAGATAGAGCATCACCGCCGACTCCTCGGTGATGGCGTGCGCCAGGCAATGATCGCACTGCCTCTCCAGCTGCACTATCCGCAGAAAGCTGGCGGCACGTAGCACCTCCAGCAAGCCGAGTCGCGATAACAGCGGCCCATCCACAATCATCCACTCGTATATGAGGCGCAAGGCACGCGGCGTCACCCAATCTGCGGGCAGATCCACGTTCAGCGTGTTGCTGCCGATATCGCAGAAGAGACCCGAGTAGCACTGCAGCACGATGAGGTGAGCGTGCAGGCAGCTCTCGCCTATGGTAATCGTGGTATTTGTTTTTAGATGCTTTCTCACGAGCGTCATCAGCAAATCGTAGAGCGGCGGCTTATCAACTCTCATTTGCGTTCCCTCCGTCTCGGGCCACTCGTCGAGCGATGCGTAGCCCAGCGAGTGCAGTGAACGCTCTTCCAGGCTGTTGTATGGTTTCTCGGGCAGGCACACGGGGGGCTGAGGGGATTCTGCCTCGATACCATCCGGCCATTCGCTGCCTTCGCCACACTCCGACTCCTCGCTCAGGGGATTATATCGGACAATAGATCTCCTCACTTCCCTTTCATTATCTGACTGCATCGCCTTGTAATCGCACTGGACTCCCATGAGATGGGCAGCGGTGACCACATGTCCACCAATTGTTGTTGATCCGAAAACATTATACATCAAAAATTTATTTCCTAATAAATGTGGTTCACTTTTCAAAACATGTCAATTGTGGCAGCTGCTCCAAAAGATATTTGATTTCAGAGAACAGAAGTTGCTTGGGCGAATGGTTTATAAACTGAATTTCGATATACAGAAAACTATTTGCTTGCAGAAGAAACAAAACAGCTATACAAGCAAATACAATCAAGCGTCGCTAAAAAAAGATTTTGCTTTCGTTTTACTCTTTCACAATGGGAGTCAAGTCAGGCCAAAATGTACTCAGTTGAGTTGGACTTGTCTGTCAGAGATAACTGGACTGATATTGTTAAGCAAACAGTAAACAAAGCGAATGTTTACAGTTAGGGCTAGAAAAACAGGAAAGCATTGAAATGGAAAACTTCCAAATGCTAATAACTTATGCATGTGCAAGGTCAATGTAAATGGCGCATATAATATACATATGTACATATATAATTATATATCTAAAAGTATGCTTTTAATTAAATACAGTAATCATCATGACTAAAACCTCTGCAATGCAGCCATAAACATATCTGTGTTGAAATTCTAGACCGTAATCCGACACTTTGCAATGCATCAGTAAAAATTACGATAAAACGTAAATAACTTCATTTAATCACGACGTAAGCGCGTGAATAACAACTGTAAATGCTTTCAATAAAACATAATCAGATGATTTGGTAGATGACTCGAATCGGGCATTGCGAATCAGTTGCGAATCAGTCCGCCGCAACGGCCGTGTGACGTCACAATAGTGCGTGGCGAAAGTTGGCAACCTTCGTCTAGCTCGTGCAACTTTCAAAGTCGAAGCGAGTCGGCAACAGTTTGAGAGTCACTGCGTGTGCAGCGACAATTGATTTTTCCCTTTCGTGTCTGACACTGAACAGGGTCAACTCGAATGGGTGTATGCGTGTCCCTGCATGACTGGGTGTGCGTGTGGGTGTGTGTGTGTGTATGTGCTTAGCTGCAGTCATGCGTAGGCAGTAAGATCAAGGATATTGCGACGTAATTTCGCTTACCAGATGCCAGAGGCCAATCATGAGCGTAGCGGTATGTACGTGCAGGCCAAAGCAGCAGGTCCACTCCTTATTGATGCGGCCATGGGTGTTGCTGATGCCATTGTTGTTGTTGTTGTTGTTGTGGTGATTGCGTTGCGGACCCATTTTGACACGGATCCTAAACATTGCACGTCCCACAGCCGAGCCGATGGCGGATATGCTGGCTGTGTCGCGTCGCAGTGAACTGTAGACGGGAAAAGTGAGCGTGGTTAGGCATTAATTATACTAGATGCATTCGAATTCAATGATGAGTATGTATCGCACAAACACAAACACATACACACACTCACACACATTCAATCACTTACACCCACTTGCAAATCTATGTAATGTGCATGTGTATTGGTTTGTGTGTATTTATTATTGTGACACTTTTTCACAGCAGAGTCTCTTGCATTTGCAGTTCATTTATGCACGATTTCATAAGATTGCGGTGGTTATTTTATATACATTTGGTAAGCGTACCTCAGATATATGCTTTTATGGAATTGCAGTTAATTTTTATAACTTATTTTGTCGCGTTTCAACGTTTTTACGAGCAGCGCTTAGATTCGCTATTAGCAAAAAACCCCTAGCAATTGACCTGTGTGACCGTTTGTCGACTGCTAGTCCCTTTATTATCGATATACTCAAATTGGTAGGGCTAGTACGGTGGTAACAAGCAGCCTTCAATATTAACAGTTGAGTTGATTCACAAAAAAAAAAAAAAAAAACAAACAAAGTTATAAATTAAAACAATTACAAATGACAAAAACGTTTAAATTGAATTTGATAAAGAACTAAAAGTTAAATCATGAAATCATTTAAGAACACATGAAACTCTTGTTCCACGACTAATCGATTACACTATCGATAGCTCCATCGACAAGCTGCTAGTAGAACATTTTATTTTGTTGTTGCTTCAGTTGCGTTCCGTCTCGTGTGCCGTTCTTTCGTAACGTTAAATTCATTTGTGTAACATTTTTATTTTGAATACCTTACGATATGGTGTTAATAAAGGAATATCGTGTTTGCATGCCGCTCACTGTTGAGGAGGTAAGTAAATACCGTATTTGCCAATTGATTAACAATTCAGCATTTCGCATTCGCTCGCAGTACAAAATCGGTCAGCTGTATATGATTGCGCGCCACAGTCTGGAGCAATCGGACGAGGGCGAAGGCGTCGAGGTAATGGACAATAAGCCATGCGAAGATCCCGTTCACGGCAAGGGACAGTACACGGAAAAGCGCATACACCTGTCCAAGTGCGATAGCCGAAAATCGTGTCCAAATATCCTTTTCTAATCATCTTTTCGATCTTTTCAGTCGGCTTCCTTACTGGATTCAGGCCATATGTCCACGCGTCTTCTATGTGACGGAAAAATCATGGAATTACTATCCTTATACGCTAACAGGTAAGCATATATATATACGGCGGATTTATTTTTGTAGCAAGTTACTTCTATTTATATCATTAACCTTTAAGTCCCTTGTGCCATATGGCAGACGCTTGACCTTTCATTTGAAAGTTGTATACAGTAGAAACTGCTTTGAGTGAATGATTAGGGATTTAGTTGAAGATAAACAGCAATTAGAAGTTTAATAATTTTCATAAATTGAAAAGTTTCTGAATTTATTTTATAGTATATATAGTAAATTATGGTACAGTAGTTGCTGTCTGGAATTTTCAGCTCTCCGTCAACTTAGTTTTCACTGTACATATCCATGAGCTCATATCGCACTTGTCATACCCCAGATACGTCACAGTCACAGCCATTGATTACGTCTGATAACGCTTACAGCATAAATTTAGTAAGCATGACGGGATATACACTATATAGAGCGAGCGATACATATAGAGATTAGAGCTGCCCTCCGTGCCCAATTCAATTCAAACGACCCCATGCTCTACAGTACCAGAGGTGCCTAAATTGCTAACAGCTGGGCCAATTCACATGAAGCTTTAAGCCAGTTGTAGCTCAATTGTCTGTAATACGTTAAAGTACTCACGATAAGCCCCGGAACATGAGAGCCGTAAACAGAGTTTGTTTAGACGGGGCTTCTCTTTAAACACATGTTTTGATTTGAGTGATTGATATGACTTTGGGATATGGATACTTGGTTGAATCAACTCGTTATCGTTTTATTGATCAAATACAGCTAGAGGTCTCCCCTTTGCCTTCAAATATATTTTTATTTATCATATCAGTTAGAGTTAAGCTAAAATACTTAAAATATAAGACTCAATGCAGAACATTGAAAATAATAAACAGAATTTGATTTCTAATTTGTTATTCCACAAATCCGCATCGATCCCATTATTTTCTGTTTTCGGTTATAAAACAAATTTCCAATGAATCGAAACAGATTTCCGATACGCACCCACGCAGCCCGTCATTAATTCGTAGAGCTAATTGCCTGTCGGTACATTACATTTGTGTTTTTATAGAACTTAAGCTAAAAATAAACATACATCGATCGAATCAACAGATATATCATTTATTGCTTTTTCCCCTTTTATATTTGTATGTGCTCGACAAACTTTAAACAATTGGCAGAATACACGGTAATTATTTAAATTGAACTGAACTTTGATTGGACTCTAAATCTATATATTCTGTTTATTTATTTTGCAGTGTTCCTTCATACCAAAATTAAATGTTCTAATCAAGACTAAATATGAGAATAACAATGGCAGCACAGAGAATGTGAGTAGCATTAGCTTAACCTAAGCGAATTTCTTTTTATATAGGTACATATGTATATGATTTTATATAGTGTCTGGATCTGAGCGAAGATGAGTTGAAAGTTCGTATTGTGGATCATGTGGACATTGCATTTGATGAGCTAACGGGCAAGCATTACAAACGCGAAGAGGATCCAAAGTTCTTCAAGTCAGAAAAGACAAGTTAGTTCATCATATTTGCTAAATTCAATTTAATGCATAGCCAAACATAAACCTTATATCTAATCATTATCTATCGCCTTTGCAGATCGTGGTCCACTGATTGAGGGCTGGCGTGAAACAGATTCTCCTATCATGTGCTCCTACAAGGTCGTCCATGCCAGCTTCGAGGTGTGGGGCCTGCAAACCAAAGTAGAAGACTTCATACAGCGCGGCATTCGGGATATTTTGCTGCTGGGGCATCGTCAGGCGTTTGCCTGGCTGGACGAGTGGTACGGTATGACGCTGGAGGATGTGCGCATCTATGAGCGACAAAAGCAGGCCGAGACCAATGAGAAGGTTCAACAGAATATTAATCCACAGCCATTAAAGGAGGCTGAGATCACGTCTCCAGACAAAGTCGAATCTTAGATTATATTTCATGATACAAATGACACCTATATTGAACTATTTGTGAATGGTATACCAAAATTGGAAAATTTTAACTATTAGCTCAATAAGACATCGTTATGCGAGCTTACAATTTTCTCCAGTCATAGTCATAAGAATATAAAACGCATTTCAAATGGTCCAAAAAAGCACAAAATACAAAAACTAATACAAAATATAAGTAGCTCGAAAACTATAGAAACCTGAAAAATGGAGGCAGCAGCACCAAACTATATAGAAATATATGTATTGTACATGATGTGCATAGGTTTAAATTTTGATGTTTGTTCAAAATGGTTTTTGTTAACTATATTCCTTAGTTTTGATTTCGCTTTAGAATTACAAATGCGCTGTTGACTACAAAATGTACAAATAAACAATAAACATAAAACTACAAATGTAACCTGTCTAAGTAGCACAGGAGTATAGGTAAATATAGTTTAATTGCTTTAGTTAAACCAGATTACATCAGAGCGATGTCCATTTGCAAGCTAAAGACATTATGCACAATCACAATTCGTTAGAAATTTAACTTTTTATAGACAAGCAGTTATTTTGGCCAAGCAAAGCCAAAAATTAAAGCAATTAGTATGCGTGTGTCGTAGTCAATAAATTTACGTATAGACGTATAGTAGTAAACAATTGTCTATGAGCAATCAGCTGATCGGAATGATGCTGCTCTCGGCTATATGTATACTGACACACACACACACACACACACACACACACAAAGACTAGCAGCTCCAGCTACTTATGATAGCAACCGTATTTTATAGCAACAATAAAAACTCTCGCTCTCTCTCGCACATTTGGCTCACACTGATGTCTCCCAACAGCTGATGGATGAGATCGCAGCGATGCCTCCAAAAAGCAAATAAAGCACAAAACACAGAAAATATGTCAGCGTTTCGCATTTGCGCCTCATTTGAACTTCAAACGCGAGAAAAGTAACACAGAGCGCGCGAGAGATACGGATGTCGCACAGTGATTAAAAAAGTAAACCGCAACTGCCCAGGCAGATTTAGAACATGTATTAAACATATGGAAACATACACTGTTATCTACTACATATATGGAAACATACACAAATCTGCTGCAATTCGCGTTGTACCCGCAGAAGTCATGTACACTCCGTTGAACATCGCGAAGTTTACACGTATTTCCGCAGAGTTCGCATCGACTACGTACCTGAGCTTGTGCCTGTGATTTCAGTGTCTTCCAGTGGCAATGAGCTATCAAAGCACATTTATTAATGAAAATTCATTTGCGTTTACTCTTCTGCTGCTCGTGGCTATTTTTGGCAGGTATTAATCCAACAAAAAATAAAATAAAAAACAAAGAAATATATCTGTTTATAGGTAAAGTGAACTCAGCGCGCTTACACGGCGTATGCGCAATGTTTGCCGCATCCGTTGTAATATGAAGAAAATCTGTGAGCCTTTTGGACTGTGGGTTTTATTAGAGCTGCATGTGTGCCCGTGTCAATATTTAACTGTTTCATAAATCAAACCGTTTTCATTCTTTGTTCTGTTTATCTACGCAAAGCAGCGCCAAATGCGGCTTATCGTGAATGCTCTTTTACACGTATTTAGCTAGAGTATCTGTAGATTAAGTTGTTGTTTACACATGAATATATAGTGTTTAAGGCAATGTAAGGGACATTCTGAGGACATTCTAATCTTTATCGATCAACACTATATATACAAACATATTTGTAGCCCAACATATTTGTTGGGCTACAAATATGTTTGTATATTAATTGCATTTTAATTCACAATTTCCATATAATTGATGATAATTATAGATAATAGATTATTTGTTCTCATCAAATTTCAATGAATTTGATTAATAAAATTTCCATTCTATTTCATTGTTACAAAATAATTTTAATTATTTCAAAGTTTTTTAATTTTAAGTGAATTTACTTAAAGATGTTAAAACTTAATAAATAACATAAATGGGACCCGACAGATATCTAGCTCACTCTGTCTCTAACCCTCTCCACCTCTCACTTTCACTCCCATTCACTCGCTCTCACTCTCACAGAGATTCTCTCACAGTCAGACTTTTTATCTTGAATTTCCTAACTATAAAATTTTAAATAATTTTTATTATTATATTATTCAGTTCTAAGAGTTACTTTATCAAACATTTTAATTACAAACAGCTCATGAAGCTCAGTCTTTATGGGTTTTTCGTTGTCTTGACAACACCAAAGTTTCATTAGTCTTACCAAACTAAGTGTGTTGGGTTATTTATGTTTCTCTCTTGAGATTTCTGCCTTCTGGCTTTCTCATATTCGCCGTAAGCAATTCGAACTATCTTGCTTCTGTGCGAGCTGGCATAATAGATAATAGATCTCTGGCTCGTGTTCATTTGATTTGAGCTACATATATGCTTAAATTATCTTAGCGTTTGGTCTATTTTAAGACTACGAAAACAAAACCTTAACATATGACAGACAGATAAATATCATTAGATATACCAACTATATTTACTTACATTCTATTTTTAAATTGATGTAGTCTGGAATTTTTTTAGTTGTATAGAGAAGCAGTAGTAGTAGAATGAATAAATACCATTAATAATATATCATTCATAGGATATCTGTCAACAGATCTCTATTCAAGATATATTCTTCACCAGCTTTTAGTTAGGGCCTAGCATATAGAGTATGTTGACCTCTGGCTAAAAAAGCCAAGTCATTTAATTGAAAACCAATTGAATGTTGTTACGCGACTGATTTCGAAGTGGATTTCATTGCGATGGGCAAATTGATAAACAAGTTTCGAGTGTCTGCGCAGTAATTTTAGGCAGGCAATCGAATTTTTTATATTTCAAATAGATCCATTTTTTTTTAGATCTTGTCCGAATCATAAAATTAATTTTAGAAATTTAAGTACGTAACTGACCTAGAACCAAATATAATTAATAATGATAATAAAAAGGCAACCATTATTTTCATTTTATATTAATGATTTTTCAATTGACCTATTAAAATTGTGACCAAATCGAATGGCATGAAGCACATTTCAATTGAAGTTGATTGTGAATTGAATTCGGTGGCGCTTCAATAGAAGAATTAAGTACATATATTGTAAATGTTTGTTTTTGTTGTTTAGATCGGCTCTAATTAGCAAATATTGAAAAAAATTCTTAATTCTATGCTAAAAAATTTGAGGTACAGATTAATTCATAGGTCCTAAGAAGGGTCGACGAATGCACAAGAATCCGAAAAATACCGAAAAAATATTACTAAATCCCACAAAAAACTTTACACGGCTCTAACTCGGCTATTTGTTGCCCGATTTCCCAATAACATATCAATTTCGATATGTACTTTTGAGTTTTTTCTACCTGCATTCAAAAATATAGGTTCCAAATTTATTTTCAATTTTTGGCCAAATAGTGATGTAACCCCATAAAGCATATTGACCAAAATCGCCAAGCCGCAAAGTTACTCAAGCCTCTAACTTTGGTACTTCATATTTTGTGGACTTTTCATCCGATTTTCAAGTTGAATGCCTTGTTCGACGCGTATTTATTCGTAGTACTAGATTGCATTAAAAAATATTTCTGGACTTATGAACTTTCGGATAAATGCACTCAAAACCGAAAAATACTGAAAAAATACTGAAAAAATACCAAAAATCATAGCACAGCTCTATCTCGGGTATTTATTGCCCGATTTCCGAACATATCATTTTTCGATATATCATTTTCGATATGTACTTTCGAGATCTTTCGAACTTCATTAAAAAATATAGGTTCCGAGTTATTGTAGTCTTTGGCCAAAATTGTAATGTAACCCCTAAATATATTGACCAAAATCGGGTCGAGTCGCAAACTTACTCTAGCCTATAACTTTGGTACTTCATATTTTTTGGCCTTTTCATCCGATAGTCAAGTGGAATGCCTTGTTCGACGCGTATTTATTCGTAGTACTAGATTGCATTAAAAAATATTCCTGGACTTATGAACTTTCGGATAAATGCACTCAAAACCGAAAAATACTGAAAAAATACTAAAAAATACCAAAAATCATAGCACAGCTCTATCTCGGATATTTATTGCCCCATTTCCGAATGATCATTTTCGATATGTACTTTCGAGATCTTTCGAACTGCATTAAAAAATATAGGTTCCGAATTATTGTAGTTGTTGAGCTATCGAGATTTTTCGAATAGCTTTAAATTATTAAACGATTGAATTTACTTAGTGATTAGTTTATTAGCGATTATTAGAGTTTACAGAGTTTATGTGATAGACGCGAGCAAGCGACTAGTCTGTCGTGCTGTCCGCTACTATGTTTGTAATAGTCAATCTAACACTGCATCTGCTCTAAACAAGAGTTAATTGCATACTAACTACAATGTACGCGAGCCGGCGGATTAAGCTGAGCCGGTGCGTGGGTGAAAGAGACAACGCAAAAGGGAGAGCGTGATCTCCGTTACAAATTCTCTTACATGATAACATATTCTATGAACTGCCGCTCTTAATTACAATGAAGCGATGATTGCTGAGCCCAACATCCTCCCCCCGTTGAAGACTTAGTCTTCAACAGAATCCTTAAGGGGCAGCAAGCACAGCTTATTTGTAGCTCTTCTTATCTCGCCAACTTCAGTTTTTAGTAGGGCTACCCGTGCAACGCCATCACTTCCAGGGATAAGTTCGATTATTCTGGCTAGTGGCCACTTAAGTGAAGGTAGATTCTCATCCTTCACAAGAACTATGTTGCCAACAGCCAAGCCAGGTTTAGAGGTTCTCCATTTCGCTCGCTGTTGTAACAAGTTGAGATATTCGTCCCGCCAACGAGTCCAGAACACCTGCTGGAGATAGCTTACGCGCTGCCAAGCATCCAAACGATTAAAATTGAGCCCGGTTAGGTTTGGCTCACTGAAAGACGAAGGAGGGCCACCGTTGAGGAAATGCGCAGGAGTCAACACGTCTATGTCTGATGGGTGCTCTGAAATCGAAACTAAAGGGCGTGAATTAACGACAGCAGCGATGTTGCAAACCAGTGTGCGAAGCTCATCGTAAGTTAGGACGGAGGACCCAACACATCGGTAAAAATGATGCTTCGCTGTCTTCACTGCAGCCTCCCACAAGCCACCAAAGTGAGGTGATCGTGGAGGGATGAAATGCCATTCGATTGAGTCTGCCAAACAGAAATCCTTCACAGCCTTCTGGTGGGTGTCTGACAGAAATAGACGCTTCAACTCCTGAAGCTGATTGCGGGCACCAAGAAAGTTTGTGGCGTTATCCGACCAGATTTGACTTGGCTTTCCTCTGGTGCATATGAAACGTTGAAGTGCATGCAAAAATGCCGCGGTAGTTAAATCCTTGACTAACTCCAACCAAATAGCCTTCGTAGCAAAACAAATAAACACACAAACGTAGCATTTCACAGGCGCCTTGTTTCGTGACTCAGGCTTGTAAAAGAAGGGTCCGCAAAAGTCGACTCCAGTCACTCCAAAGACCCGATAGCCGTCGACTCGATCCTTGGGTAGATCTGCCATTATGTGTTCAACGAGTCGGGGCCTTGCACGAAAGCAAATTACGCATCTCTGAATTACACTGGCTACAGTTTTTCTACCTCCAATTGGCCAATATTGGGAACGAACCAACGCTAGCACTGCTCGGGGACCAGCGTGCAAGTTTCGCTGATGGAAATGCATTATGATGGCTCTAGTTACTGGATGAACTTTGGGCAAAATAATTGGATGGCGACTATCGAAATTTAAAGTTGAGTTTTTGAGACGACCATCGACACGTAGCAGCCCAATCTCATCAAGGAACGGTGACAGCGAGGCTAGACTGCTGGATGACGGAACCATTCCTTTATTTCGAAGAGCATTTATGTCGTCTGAGAGATGTGTTCGTTGAATCATTCTTAACAGTATATGAGTGCCGTTCCGGATGTCTGCTAGGGTTATTCCTGGACCATGACTTTTTTTAATAAACTTTGATACGTATGCAAACGTACGCTGCAAGCGGCCGAAAGAATTCACAAACTTGCAGTCCATAGAGACATCATGGACTGCGTCCTTTAAAGAAGCACAGTTCTTCGACGCTCAATTGAAGTTCTTTCTGGAAGTGCTGAGACTGGCCACTGAGATCTGGGCTTACAGAGGAAACCTGGACCGTTGAACCAATGTAATGATGCATTTAAATCCGAGGGCAATGCACCCCGAGATAATATATCCGCGGGATTCAGTGTTGTAGGTATATAGTGCCATTCCATTGCTGATGTGAGATCTTGTATCGTGGCGATGCGATTTGAAACAAAAACGTTAAATCGTCC